GGCCATAAAGATGAGCTTTGAGGTTTTTCCTCTCACTGATTGGTTTAATAACTGCCCCAGTGTGATCTTTTGGCAGAGCAGGATGGAGCTCTGGGGCAGGAGAGAAGGCGTTGTGGGTTTTCATCAACCAAACACTCACTGACTCAGACAGTATATTCTATACTATTAATGTATTGACACACCATTGCATCACTGTCAAAGCTTGAAGTCAACCTGAGGAAGATCCAGGAGGGCAGCAATGCTCGTCATGCACAATGAGGATCAAAGCACCCATAAACTCAGTCTTCAAAAAAAAGAAAATAGTCTTCACAACAAATTGCCACGTTAGTTAACCTATCCTGGAAATAATATCGCTTTCACTGGCTGTAATAGTATACGATAATTCAATAATTGTAATATTACCATTTTGACTCCAGCTGCCTCAGAGATTTAACATCTACATCTCCGATGTTTACATAAACCTTCAACTATTCAAGATGGATAAAACTGAAGAAGCCAAAGAATAAAGTCATAAAATCATCTCATTTCACATTAAAATAGTTTGCATCTGAAATCTGAACATAATTTCAGCTCCCAAAAGCCTCAGAGCCCACCTACACCAAGTCTCTAGTTTTATTGCTCTCTGTTTTGATATGACTTGTTGATAATACAGCTTGAAATGGGGTTTCCACTCAGTCCCCTGGTTTAGTTTCAGTTGCAGAGTTTGCAAATAATCCATAAGAGGTGTATACACACATACACAAAACTTAAAAAAGAAAATTAGAGTTACACACAGCGGTGTATCTGAAAACAAGAATCATACAAAGTAGACCAGAGAGTAGAATAGAGTTTCCTCTGAGTAGAAACCTGAAGAAATATTACAAAGTTGTTTGCAATATATTTAAGAAACAATCAAGCAAAACTTTATAACAATTAAAGATGGACCATATGAACTTTAATGAATCGACAATGCTTTGGGGGCTGTTTGAGTCAGTGTTCCCTTTTGATTTTCCACTGTGGTTTTATTCCTGTGAGAGTTTCTTATAGCAGGAAGGTTTGCATCCCTGGTGCACCATAGTCACGATTAGTTTATCGTGAAGTCAGTTTCCGCTCTGGTCCCAAACAGAATGTTGTCTCATGCTCTATGAGATGGATTTTAATTATACTTCTGTGAATTTCTTGTTCTTTGGAGACTCAAAAGCTATCCCAACACAAGCAGTCCTGTGGCTGACAAACATTTCCAAAAGCTTCAACAAGCAGGTAAAGCTACATATTTCTGAGGGATGTGTTTTAGATCAGCTTATGCTTTTGAAGAAAACTGTACACTGAGAAATACAAGAGTGGATATTATTGAAAATGAATGTATTTCACAAAAATCAATTCAGAAAGATTAGCGATAATATAGATTAAGCACAAACTGGTATTTGTTAATTACCTACAGCCAATGCTCAAAACGTAAGGTAATAATATTACATCACAACAACAACAACAAAACAATACAGAAATATGAAAAATATTATATGTGCCTTCTTAAAGGTACTGATTTTACAAAAGTACGTCTGAGCAAAGCACATATGTCCAATTTACTGGGCTCGACCTCTAACCAATACCGTACTACTGAAGATAGTTGATATTCTGACATCAACCAGCTTCGTAAAGGCACAAGGCCAAACATTAATTTCCCAACCATAAAATTGTCACAGCAACCAAAGTGACTAAACAAAATCTCTCGAGAGTTTCATGTCACAGCTCTTCAATTCTGACGAGAGACAACAGAAAACACTTTACCTGCCCCAGAAGAAGACAGAGGGGTCACAGGGAAGGACGGCAGACGGCTCAGGAGAGGAAGCATTTTTCACCGTATTAATTTATATGTTCCTTCTAGAAGTGGCAGCCATCACAGTCAGTTAAGGGAGATCCATTCCTGCCCCTCTCATGGGCCTTCCTGTGACGTTTTCATTCGTCACATGAAAGCAGTTGCTTTCCTAAGTGAAAGGTTTTTACTTTCACTTAGGAAAAGTGGAGCTATGTAAGAGACCGTGGTTTGGGAAAATAAAAGAAGATGTGGATTGTTTGGACCAGGGAAAGGTAAAAGATGGATACCAGTGTATTAAACATCAAATTGATCAAACACACAGAGATGCCATCATTTGATTCATTTTTCATGCTACATGTTCTCATGCCAGTGTCTCCTAATTCACTCAAATTCATAAAACAGAAGAGGATGGACACATTGCAAAAATGGCAGCAACTATAATCGTGGTCATTGTGGAACAAGCAGTTTATGCTTATTTTTGGTGCAAACAATGTAAACGCAGAAGATTAAGATGTGCATTGATAGCATTGTCAAAAGAAGGCAATTTGCCACAAGCTCTTCCTGTTGCATTAAACCACATTTAAAATCTAGCAAAAAAATAAATAAAAAATTGCTCGAATAAAATACAATGTAAAATATTTTTTTAAATATTTATGGTTCATTTTGATATAGTTCCAACACAGAATGTGAAACTGGCATTCTGTACAAATGCCTAAAAAAGCATCAAACAATCAATGAAGACAAAATGTAAACAGTTAAAATCAATATATATATCTTTTTTGAAAAATAAACTGCCCATCATCTACACACCAATTCCCCCCCTAAAATTTTGATGAAAGGACTTTAGGAGGACAGGGAGCCTTTGTCAAAGTGGATAAAATATTAATGGAGCTGAAACCAAGATATTGGTAAATAAAGATGAATTAGACGCTGCAAAAATCTCTAGATTTTGCTGAGTTTCACGTCCAAGCCGGATCAAGACTGTAATCAAACAGCCAGAGGTGAACCTGACACATTTGGGCGTTTGTTTAGTTTGAGCGGTCCAGTCCGAGTCCGAAGCTGAATGGACCTGAGAAGCCACAGAAAAAAACAAAAAACAAAACAAAAATGACCTCAAACGCATGAACATCCACTGAAGATTGACGTTTGGTAACAGGCAAGAATCAAACTGAACCCACAGACAATAAAACATGTAAATTGATCCGGTGAAGAAAGAACTCGGAGGAACCGACAGGAAGGGAAACAGCTGCAAACAGCAATTTGAAACAAATGAGGTAAAGGAAACGGAATGAATGCAAACACGGCAGCAGACAGACGTAGGTAGAGATTGAAATGCAGACAGTCCCCGGAACGCTGTCTGAATCTCTTAGTGATTCTGACATCATCACCAAGGCTGTAATTGTGCACGAGACCCGTAACTCACACATGCTCACGTTGCTTCACCAACGTCTCCATCTGTTGCTTTGTCTTCCATGTCGTGAACTCTGGAGGATGCAAATCAGACTTTGCTCAGTACACTGTGCTTTTGTCATCAGGTGTGAAGACAAAAATACGAGAAGACAGCTTTGTAATGCAAATTTTGTTAAGGATAGATGAAGGAACAAGCACAGGTCTTGCTGGTCTCCATGTATCAGCTCAGACAGAAACACCGGGAGAGCTGTAGGTGCAAGCACCCGCGGTCAGATCACATTCCCCGTGAAGTATCTACAAAAACCAAGTAGCTGGGATTCTTCACATATGCTGCAGCTTCTGCTGGTTACGTCCCAAAAGGTCAGGCTGTTATTACAGATGATGCTAAGCTATGGGAGGGCGAGGAATTCACAAAGATTGATGACACAATATCAGGCGTGCTGAGGATAAATTACCGCTATGTAAGGGATAAATCCCAATCATCGACACTAAGAATTTCAGAAAGCGTGCAATCTTCTTAGAAAATATCTGGGCAATGGCATGAATGTGCACTCAGCTGGAGAAAAGCAGACGTCTTACAAGAGGAACGGTGGAAAAAAAGCAAAAAGAAAGTCCAGCAGGACTCCCTTCTCCAGCTACACGGGTACTTTCTAGAAGTGAGGGCAAAGAGTGGGAAAAAGAGAGAGACTCGAGTTCAGATAATGACACTGATGCAAGGGAACATACATCGGAGGTGAGGACGATGGGGGCATGAGGGAACGAGACAGCGGCGGGCTAAGGAGCCTCTGAGGAGTGGTGGTGTCAGGGGAGATAGAGGGAGGCAGCGAGGGATTCGCTGCCAGAGGGGCTGGAAGCAGAGGAGGAGGAAAGAGAGAGAAAAGACTGTTTGTTGGATTAAACCATTTCCAGTTCAAATGTATTCAAACTTTAAAAAGTCAAGACAATATCACAACAAAAACTGACAAAAAATATGCAGCTCACATATATCCTTCTGTTGGTATCACAACTGATGCATCAGGTGTTTACAGTTATTTTTTGTGTCATACTTTAGTGATCATGTCTGTTTACTGATCTTTTTACCATAATGATTTAACCGGGAGACATTCATGATTACCTCAATAATTTTTCCGTGGTTTCTCTGGGGGTGGGTTGTGTCACAATTTATGCATTAGATAATTGATTATGTGTAATTTCTTTCATCGTTGATGGAATATTCGTGATGCAGGAATTAGTTTCAGGTTGCCGCCCGCGTACCATGGCTCCCCAACTAAAATATAATTAATTGTGTGTCTGAAGGTGGCATATGGCAGAAATTCATATTAAAAACCCATAAATTAAGCTTCTGTAACAACGATTTCTGTTCACACATTTAACGATGTTTTCCGTCATTTTTCTTTTTTAGTGCAATTTTTAAAAAATAATCCAGGATTTACCTTTTTTTTTCTTGTAACTTTCGTCTTCGAACTCCATGAATTTAGTCTTCTTTATCTTGGATCTATCACCAAAGGTCAGCAGACCAGAAAAACCCAGAGTGTGATTTTGAGAAAGGTACTAAGGTAGAGATCTGAAAAAAGAACTCATTTTATTGACGTTGTCCCCTTTTTATTTTTAATGGAAGTATTTTAGGTTGTTCTGCTTAGGAATGCCCTCAGATGGAATTTCTATGCAAATTCCATCTGAGGGCAGGAGGGGGAGATGGCAGGAGCTGCTGAGGAGAGTAAAGTGGAAGAGGGATGAAGACTGGGAGGAAGAGGGAGGGGTGTACGCACACAGGGCTCAGTGGGGGGATGGATACGTCTGTGCAGAGAAGGTGGCGGTGGGAGTCGCACAAACAGTAAAACAACCAGCCGCGGCTTGTGTATCGGGGCGTAGGATGCAGCTGTGGTCTGCCGAGGAAACGCGGGGATTTACTCAGAACTAACCGAGAGGAGAGAACGACTTAACACCTGGGGCACAAAGAGGGGCGGGAGACTCCGGAGGAAACAAAGGATAAGGCTGCAGAGGAGACAGAGTGAAAGAAGAAAAGCCACAAGATAGGTGGGCAAACGTCAGAGCAGGTAAGGACAACTTTTAAATGAGAAATAAAGCTGTGCTGACATGCTTTAATGGATGAAGTTTCAAGATGCTAAATAATTTGGGGCTTTTATGTACAGAAAATTGTGGAAAATAAGCAATAAAAATGTAACGTTTAGGGAAAGCTATAATGAGCACACAGTATGAGGACATTTACCATAATTCCTACTAATTTCCACCCATTAACTTTCAATTTGGCCAAGAGCAGGGACAATCATTGGTGCTCATGTGTCCATGGTCAATTAATGAATGTGCCACAATGCAACTCATCTGCAAGATGTTTTGCTTTGGTAACCAAATCATGGATTTGCATAATTTTGAACAACAGCAAGACATGAGAGCTGCAGATTGATCTTACTGCTTTCTATTAGTGGCAGTAAGATCAATCTGCAGGCGGTTGGAGAGAAAGAGGGTAGGGGGGCTCAACCAGTGACGAGGACTCCATAGTGAGTTAGTGTTGTGATTAGTTGTCGGTGATGCAGTGCAAATAAACCAGGAGGCTGTGACAACACGAATGGACAAACCTCGGCAGACCTAGAAAAATCAGCTGAAATACATAAATGCACAGGCAGTCACATATCTGCTCAGTGGTCTTTGTGTTATTAAGTGTGCAAAATGGAGCAGCTGCTGACGTAGGATCAATACCACATTCCTGTGCATTTGTTGGTGGAGACGAAGCGCTCCATGGCACTGGAATGACTCTTGAGCTGCAGATTTCCCCCGAGGTGTGTGACCACGTTCATGTCAGATGCTGCCATCCAATGGTGACGCTGTGCCATCCTGTACTGTGGCGCGAAAGGAGAATGGCTTGTGAAGTCTTCGCACAACTTGAACTTCTTCGTATTTGTCACTGCACACCACAAGCTTCAATTTTCAAAAGAAATCTTTGAAAAGAAAGGCTTGTATTTACAGTAGTTCCTTGCACTGGAATATCCCGAAAAATATAAGCAACCAATAAAGTCATGTTTGGGCTGTAAAATCAAATCCCCAAGTTTTGGATTGGTCACACAATCATACATCTCCAAATCCTAGAACGATCGGTGGATGAGGCGGAGGGATTTTTCAAAAGGATGACTTCACTGTGAAACCTTTGAAGGTGGTTTAAGTTGAAAATGAAAGTGCTTCAGCTGCCTTGAAGGTTCTAACAAAAGTCAACAAGAAAACTAGACAAAAAAGTTAAAGAAATGAATCTAAAAGCAAGTTTATCTTTGACAAACTGACGCACCGAAGTTGAACGCCTAAGACGTGCCAGATTTACCTAAGGAATAGAAGTTAGTAGACATAGAATGGTACTGTAATGTTTTACTTTAAGTAATTCACTCAACAAATCAAACAAATAAGGAAGAGAGGCATTAACTTCAAAGAGGCGAGTCGCCATGTGGAAAACACAACCGACATGTCGAGGAAGGTGAAAGCAGAACGTAACTTTTTTGCCGTACAGTTTGGTGTAAAACTAACTCTGCACAACATTTCCATCATGAGACACAGTGATGGCTTCATAATGCTGTGGGAATGTTTCAGAAGGGGAAAAAACTATTCCTTCAACTCAAATTGCAGCTAAAGCGATTCTACAGATAATTGACACAAAGGGGCTGAAACAAAACGCCCAGCTCACTTTTCAGATTTAACTTTAGTTTTTTCTTCCACTTCCCACTTGATCTATCACTGAAAAGCCGACGTGGACATTTCTGATCGTGACATGACAAACACGAAACTGTTCAAGGAGCACAAAACTTTTGCAGAAAGGGAATGACGTGTGTGTGCGCTTTTCACTCCTTTTTCTCACATCATTTGGACAGCGCCGTCGACCTCTGTCTGTTGATCCGCAATGACTGTCCAGCTGAATGAGCTTCTCCTCATCTGCCTCACCGTCACACAGGGGTGAGCGACCTGGTGTTGAAGCGCAATCGTTTTTATTGTCCGTTTCTCATTGACTGGCATTTCCTCTTCCCCCTCAGCGGTTGCATGTTCTCTAACAACCACTGGGGTGAATGGAACGGCTCTCAGCTTCAGCCCACCATCCAGAAGCTCATGAAGGGATACAATCGCTACCTAAGGCCTAATTTCAACGGTAATCAAAAGACTGAGAATCCTTTTTTTTCAGTTTTGGTGTTTGCTGACTGGATTTTGACCACATTTCTTGTCTTTGTTCACAACAGAAGGTCCTGTGGAGATTGGGATGAGCCTGGACATCGCCAGCATTGACGCCATCTCCGAAATAAACATGGTACACCAAACTCCGTTTTGTTCTTCTTTAGCAGCTGGGCTCAGTAAATAAATCCTTCTTGACGCCATCCTGCCAGGACTACACAGCGACCATCTTTCTCCGTCAGCGGTGGCGCGACTCCAGGCTGGTGTTTCCCGGGAACGAGAGCGTGAGCGTGGATGGACGCCTGGTGTCGCTGCTTTGGATCCCGGACACCTTCATCCCGGACTCGAAGCGCTCCTTCCTTCACGACGTGACGGTGGAGAACCGCCTCATCCGCATCTTCAGCAACGGCACCGTGCTTTACGCACTCCGGTACGTCGCACCTTTCCTGCAATCGGCCGCGCTCTGGCCTCAGGTCCCGCTCAAAACAGGAAGGAATCACCGATGCATCACCATCCAGTCATGGACCTTCAGGGAGTGACACTTCATTTCTGGATGCCTGGCGTCCCTGAAATTGCTTTGATTTGTCATGTCCTTGGCATCTTTGAAAATGTGTCTTGACATTTAATCTGTTTCGTCACCCGGCTGCAGAACTTTGTTTTGACTCCAAAGCTTAATAGATTGAGAAGAAGAAGAAAAAAAAAACATAGAGCAGCTTTGCGTTTTGTTTAGATTCACCCTTCTTCTGGCTAAATTAAGGCAGACAGTGATTCATGAATGTCAACATGGACGGTGGCGACTCGCTTCAAACATGAGTCAGAAAGCTGCCCTCGAATGTGCAGAATGCGTCGACTCAATGCTTACTGTGTTTCCGAGGGATTTTTGGGATGATAAATTATCGAGACTTAGAGTGAAACAAGAATTATGCATCAGACAGCAAACTTTCATGCCGAGACATCAGCTATACGTCTACGAGTCTTACAGGAAATCTCAATGTCTGGATGTGCAAAGCTGGTGGAGACATATGTCTAAACACTCGCAGCTGTAATCGGAGAACAGTCTCTTTACAAAGCACTGATTCGGGGAGGGCGAGTGGCGACGCACAACACACTTCTTTGATTTACAAATGGAAGTTTGCTGCGCACAGCAAACTTTTTAGACACCAGTTTTGCTTTGTTACACACATAGCGATACAATATGTGATATATTGTGGAGCTTCAAGTCCCATTCGTCTCTTTAAAAAAATAAAAATAAAAAATAAAAGACAGAGAAGAACACAGTGAGGCACATTGAATCTCACGTGTTTGCTCCAGAAGTAAACACTACTTGCGGAAAACCGTGACTACTTGCACGCTCGCATTCATCGCCTGATTTAACTCACCTGTCAACAGTGATTGCACATCCTGGTGTGATGATATAAAACCAGTGATCAAGGCGAAACAAACCATGGATAATCACAGAAGTGTGGCCGGACTTTCTTTAAGCAGAAAAATTACAAGCTGTGGGGGAGAAACTTCACCCTCAGCTGTCAGAGTGAGAGTCAAACGTGAATAAAACATCAGACGGTGAAAATATTTGCTGACACGTCAAATCGGGGCCTTTGTTTTATTTCTTAACTGTCTCTCAGAAGAAAAATAGCTCTTAGCTTTCACTGATCTGTTGCTGTCATGTGCTCAACAAGAGAAGGAAAGGCTTTTATTGGGAAGAGGGGGGGTAAAAAAAAAAAAGTCATTTTTGATGCTTTTGCTTTGAAAACTCGACAGCATCACGGCTACAATCGCCTGCAACATGGACCTGACCAAATACCCCATGGACAAACAGGTGTGCACCCTGCAGCTGGAGAGCTGTGAGTACTGTCTTTCTGCCCGCCCTTCGTCAAGTGTGTGTCCGTCTTCTTTCCATGACCTCCGCGGCTTTACGTCCTCACCATCAGGGTGGAGAGTACAGGCTCTTTGTTGCTGTGCAGATCTGATGCCATGACCGTGCACTAATAGCACGTGTGCTGCATTGTCAGGGGGCTACAACATACAGGACGTGGTGTTCTACTGGACGAGAGGGAACGATTCTGTGAAGGGTTTGGACACCTTGCGGCTGGCTCAGTACAGCGTGGAGAGCTACTACACGTCGGTGACGGAGGCCGTGTACGAAACAGGTACAGAGTGGAGTAATGTGCGGCCAAGATGCTGTCCAGTGTGAACGCAGGCCATCGCTTTTATGCGTTTAGAGAGCTGTGCTATTTTATGTCTCTAAACAGGTCATTACCCCAAGCTGGTGCTGCATTTTTCCCTGCGCAGAAATGTCTTGTTCTTTATCTTGGAGACATATGTCCCCTCCATTCTGCTGGTGGTTCTCTCCTGGGTCTCTTTCTGGATCAGCCAATCCTCTGTGCCAGCCCGAACGTGCATCGGTCAGTACTTTTTTGCTCTTTATGATTCTGGTACACCATGTACACCATGTACCAGTCAAGCCTCTGAAGACACCGGCTTGTTGTTTTTTTTTTTTTTTTTTAAATTATGGTCAAATTAAAATGGAAACTTTGGCTACGTCGCATGATAGGAGGCATGTACAATTGGAAACAACTCCAACTGAAGCGGCACATGTGCTTCAGCTTGCACTTTGACTATGACCATGTTATGCAATAACATGGTCATGGTTATTGTTGTTCCAGACGACTTATTGTTGTCCCCGTTTTCTTTGCCAAACACCATCCGTGTCTCAGTGCAAAATGTTTTGGGAGGCATTTCAAGAGTCAGTCTGCTGGATTGTTGGTGAAAGTGGACAGGAACATGCATGTTGAATGCCACTGCACAACAGCCCCATGTTGAATTTGAACGTTCACCCCACTCCTGGTGGCTAGAGAGAGAACCGGTAAGTTGCAGGGGATGAGGTGGATCCACACTGCCAGCAGCTTCACCCGTTGTAGTTTTGCACACAATAAACTTAAGTTTCATGTGAAAGTACAGATTTGTACAGATGTAGGTTTGCACGCCTTTTGTCTGAGCAAATTACATAGTTACTCACTGGTCTGAGGATTTCATCACTCGCTTACGGTACTTGATGGTACTCTGACATCTTCCTACGACAAATCAGAGAACTATTACAGAATCCAACATGCAGTAGCGATAATTTATTGCTATGTCCAAATTTTCTTAAGTTTCCAGAAACGGTAGGAACCATTCTGATCGATAAACTGCTTCAAATTTATTCTTGCTTTTACAATTGATTGCTCGAATCGCCATTCAAATCTCTGAAAAGCAGGTTGTTGCTTGATTGCGATGCGTCACTGTGGAGAATAATGTTTTTGCTTCTTTTTTTTTTTTTTTTTTTTTTTTAATCTTTTGACTTTTGTTTATTTCCAGAACATTTGGGCATGTCTTATCTGTCAACCAAAAACTAAAACCTAAAAGACTGTTTAAATATTCTGGAAAAGAAAAAGACATTTTGCCTACAACCAACCCAATACTTTAGATATCACTGCTCAGCTGCTTTAATTCTCCAGTTACCTCACTGGACTGCAGTATCACATTTGCCTTTGAATCTAAGAGTCGTGGAAAAGCAGAAGCGCAAGCTGCAGCAAGGCGCCACAAACCAGCCGTGTGCGGTTCGTTAAAATGCTCCTCAAAAGTGCAGACAAACAACAGAATTGCCAGAAATATTGTGCGTTGATTCCCAACAAGCCAGTTGTGATTGTATCAAATGCTGCAGCGCTGGCTGAGGGGATCTCGTTAGCAGAACCAGAGGAACCGGACGTGGAGCTGCTCATTAAATGTATGAATCCAGACCCGGCTGGACGCAGCAGCAGCAGAAATGGATTGAATATTTGCCAGTTTGTCTGTGGACTTTCTCTTCTAAGGAGCTGAGGCATTTTCATGTCAGGACGTTGCCTCCGGTCTTTGTTAATTTACCTCTTTCTACTTGTGACGTTCAAAGCAAAAGTTCAAAATTTCTGCAGTTCATGGACTTTTAAAGATTAGGTTCCGACCCACCGTTATCTGTGCCTCTGGCTTTATTTAAGAAGAAAAAAAAAAAAGCTTTTTGCTCACGCTGCTTGCTCAGCGGTGTTGGTAGACTTATAATATGATTTAAAATATATCTTATTAATAAAATGTTTGACTGGCTGAAATGAACAATTTTGTCAAATTTAACATTTTTAGCTTCTTCTTCATAGCTGAACATAAATTATGAACCAATCTTCAGTTGTGCAGAGACAAACATGTGCTGCAGAAAATCCTTCAAATAATTACAAGAATAAAAGAAATTGACAAGTCTTGAGCCACTCGAACAAAACATCACAGTTAAAGAAAGCATTGAAATAGAAAACCTTCTTCTCAAAGTAAACCGATCGATATGTCGTTCTACTCAAAATCACACTTTGATCGCCCGTGCAGGAGTGACCACCGTCCTGACCATGACCACTCTCATGATGGGGGCCCGCACATCCCTGCCAAATGCTAACTGTTTCATAAAGGCCATCGATGTTTACTTGGGCATCTGCTTCACCTTCATCTTCGGTGCCCTGCTGGAATATGCCTGTGCTCATTTTTACACGATGCAGCATCAAACCATCGAGGATCTACACCGGGTAAGAAACATGCCCCAGGCCACGAAATGCAGTCATGGGTATTCACTGTGACTGGATTAACGCGTCCATCTGTGTTTGTGTGCGTAACCTTCAAGGAGCTTTTGAGGGAGTTTGCCGAGTCCAATGGAAACGGCCTGGTGCCAATCGCCAACTCCAGCCAACCGAACCAGTCCGTGGAGGTGGGCACCACCGCAGAGGAGCCGGCCGAGGAGCCGGCGAAGAGCGGCAGCAAGAACCACGCGGCTTCCACGGAAAAAGCGCAGAGCCAGGGCTGCGGCTTGTCGTCCGTGAAGGACGCCTCGCGCAGAGCGGCCGCCGTCTTCATCGTGGAAAATCCGCACAACATCGATCGCCACTCGCGTACCGCTTTCCCCGCAGCATTCCTCTTTGTCAATATCCTGTATTGGCTCTATTATCTCTTTCTCTGAGTGCTGATTGGCAGCAGGCAGCAGGAGAGCTCGCGCCGCTGCCCTGAAGCCCTCCTACCTCCTCATTAGCCAGCGGCTGGACCTGGACATGTCTCATGAAACCTTTCTTTTGTAGCACCCAGATAAAACTTGTTGTAGGGGCTGCGAATAATAAGAAGCAGTTAGTCAGGACTGTGCTGTCTACTAAAAAGGGTGGTGTTGATTGCGAGTCAATGAACAGCTCTGCACATTTTTAAGCATGAGGGTGTGATGATTAAAAACCAGAGCTTTCAAAAGTATTCATACCGACTTAACCTTTCCAAGTCTTAGGCTACAACCACTACAACCATTTTGTGTGACATACCAGTCAAAACCCTGATTGATAACCAATATTTCATCAAATGCTTTGCATCTGTGTGTATTCAGCCCCTCTTGATCAATACTTTGAAGGACCACAAATTATCACTGCAATTATTACTGCAACCATTTATCTCTCTTTTGGGTTTGCACATCGAGAGACTGATTCTTTTTGCCCCGCTTTTATTGGCAAACCAACATAAGTTTTAAAAGAGTGACGTGGAACATAATTTTTCAGGTCTCTCACGAGACTCGGAGTTGGATTTATAAAGGCCGAACCGTTTCATGACAGTTTTGGCTGTCTGTTTGGAATCCTGCTGTCCCTGTCGTTACTGTTTCACAACCTCGAACAGCTTTTTTTTTTTTTCTTTTTTTTTATCTCTCAGGCTTCCCCCTTCTGGTTTGGATTCCTTCCACCCACTGAAGAAACGCAAACTCACAGCAAGACGCTCCCATCTTTGCTGAGTCTCCTGGATCGGCTGTGGCAAGATGCGTGTTATGTTAGCGATGGCTTTCCTCTTGCTCGTCGAACTTGACGACACACGCAGGCTTGCTCAGCGAGCGGACTTGAACTATGCTGCTGCCTCATACGTGATCCATCTCACACTCTGCATTTTATGTGCTACTTCCAGCTTCTGGTTGGTTCTTTTTTGCCCAGAGCACAGAGTCTCAGCCCTGTGAGACTCTGTGCTCACCTCCTGACGTACAGCAGACATGACCAGGTGGTGCAGAGACGCATCACTCCATGACATGCTAAGCAGCATGGTGGTTGTTCTGTTCTCTCAACTATGTCTTTGCCACACTTCCTTCAGTAGCCGGTCGCCCCATCATCAGATTCTTCCACCACTGCGGTTTCTCTAAAGTTACTTCCGGTTTCTCGGCTGCTTCTCTGGTTAACTCAAGCCAGTTTCCTGTCAGTTTCGGTGGACAGCCATGTTAGGACTGAAGTTGTGCCATACCTTTTCCATTTTCAGATGAAATTTTAAACAGAGCTTTGTGAGATCTTCAAAGCTTGAAACAGTGCTTTGTAATTTGACCTTAAATCCTCCACTTTATGATACTTGTTTTTATTTTCCCCCCCACCACTGGTCGTTAGCAAACCTGGTGATTTCTCTTTGAACGCAGGTTTTTGCATTGGGATTCATTATCAGGTATCAGATGCAAATACCTACTCTCAATTTTCAGATCTGAATTTGTAAAAAATAAAAACGTGGAAAACCAGCTTCATTTCTCCACTTCACCAAAAGTGCATTGCTTTGTGTTGGCCTGTCGCACTCAATCCGAAATCAGTACATTGATGAAATACTTTTGTAAATGGAACGTGACAATATGTGGGAAGGATCGAGCGGTGTGAATACTTTTGAAAAAAGGACTGCCGAATCACCAGCTCCATCTGCTGCGCGACATTGAAATGGGATTATTAAGTCATGTAGATGTGCTTTGTTTTTTCCTGCTTTGGCTGTTTCAGGCTATATAACTGGCCATGTGCAATTAAACTGAAAACGACAGTAACTATGACTTGTTGGTGGAGTTTAATAAAGACCTTCCACGTCTTGGTGTTTTACGACAATAAAAAGAAGAAAATCAACTGCTTGTACAGTGAAAAGCAAATGTATTAGTCCCTCATCCAGGTTTACATAAAGTGCAAAACTTGAGAGAAAGAATTTAAATGACAATAAAAGGGATAGATCAGAGTAGCACCGCTAAATTAGTCATTCAGTTACCTACCAAAAAGGTTCAAGTTAATGTCAGACGCTGCTCGAGCCAAATCAGTGTGGCCAGGGGACATTAATAGAATAATTTAAAAAACTCTAATGGCCAACTCTTAGTGTCTGAAACTTTTGCACAATGCCGTTTGTTGTACGACAATGACAGTCTGACGCAGAATGAAACAAAAACAGTAGTTTTAGTTCGCTATGTACATGAAGAAAACAAACAAAAACATGCCACTGCGTGAAAGGCACCTCGAAGTAAAACTCTTTCCAAAATATCACATTAGTCAGGTTTGGCCTGCACACCGTTTCACGTTTGTCATTTGTGATGCCGCAACTGTCTGTGCCTTCCAACTCCACGGTTGATGCACTTCCCTCTGCTTTCAGTCCATGTCTCTTGTGCCTTTGTCGCATAGATTCTCCCTCTCTTTCTTTTCCTTGACCCATTCAGTGCCCTCAAGACAATGAAAATACATGGATGCAGTGAGTTAAGAGTCCAAATAGTGAACGCCGAGCAGACGGTTTCACGGCTCCAAAGAGAAAAATATCCAGTGGAAATGTACCTCCACCTGCTGGCGGATTTACGTATTGCTTTCGACACAAGTCCTAAATGTCGGAATGGAAAACCTTTGTTTAGTTTTTTTTTTTTTAATCAGTTTGGCAGATGAACCCGATCAAGAAAGAAGGTGGAAAAAGTCACACCCTGTAATATCCATTTACTTCAGTCTTTTCCATCAAAAATGTCTCCTAGATTCTTTTCTTTAACTCCCATTCCTGCAGGAAAAGAACATAAAGAGGAACAAGTTCATTTTATGTACCTCATTGAGTGTCATGATTAACATCACAAATTACAAAAATTGAAATAGAATACAAAATCTGACAAATTATTAAATTAAAAATGCAGAAATGTGTGCTGCTATTGATTCAGCCCTAATTTTAATCGTGTGTGTCTCTGTGTGTGTATTAGGAAGAAGGCGTACATTACATAATATTCTGCAATGTACTGAATCAAGACTGGTTGGATTTTTTTCCACATATGTAATTATCTATTGTATTCAATACACTGTCTGAAGTGATCTCAATTGCTCAAATATATATATTACCTGAATTATCCTGACAGTAGGTCGACCTGCTATCAGGTACAATTGCTCTAAAGGTTCAGTCAGATGTCAGTCAGAAGTGAATTGTTGTACATTCTCATCTCAGAATCGCAATGCTCATGAGAGATGTTTTATCAATACGAGCAAAGGATCTGTGTCCGCATGTTCCAGTCACTGATAAGTATGAGATCCAAGGACCTGGAGCTTTAGAGCACTGACAGGAGTTTGTCCCCTTTCACATATTTATTCTGTTCCTGAGTTCTTGTCACTTCAAATCAAACTATTTGTTTGAAAGACAGATTAAAGATGATTTTAGTTAGAAAGGGGAGTCCAACTTGGCCCTAATTGAAAAAGTGATCACCCCCTAATCCAAATAAAAGGTTGTGGCGATCTTGGTGGAAACAGCAATCGTCAAGTGTTCGCAATAATTCAAATGGAGTGACTATTAAGATTTTTTTTCAGACTTTGCTGAACAGATTTAACCCACACCGGAAGGTTTTTGTCCATGAACAGCCTGTTTAATGTTAGGCTATGACAAGCGAAACAGATGTAAGTCTAGCCTCTGACCAGGCCACTGAAAAATGGATCTTGTTTGTTTTCTAACAAAGAAAGAAGTAATGTGACAGACTGATTAGCTGCTCTGTAAATCTGAGCATAACATATTTAATCAGCATCCTCACCTTTGCTTTCTGCATGACGGTTCCAGCAGAGGATGCGCAAATCGACGGCGGCCTCTTTCGCATCTCCGCGGCGCAGTTCACTGGTAAAGAATCACTGTAGGAATTCTGGATTTTTTTGCCGAACTCCTGAGAAAAGTTGAGAAGTAAATTTAAAAAAAAAAAAAGAAAGAAAAAAAGACTGCAAGGTGAAAGAGCTTTCTCTTTCCACACAGATCGACAGATATACCTTGGCAGGTGGCCTGGCCTCCACAGGTGCGCCCAGCGCTCCGCCTGCCAGACTCTTCTTCAGGTTTTCTTTGACCTGTGTCAGTCTGAGTTCCAGGTCCACCCTCTCAGCCTCTTTGGCCTTGCAAGCCTCCTCCAGCTGGGACACGTGCTTCTCCAGCAAGGACTTTCTCCTCTCTGCTCCACAAAAAACCACATACTTTTACATTTCTGCTGTCTTTCCAATTGTGACTGTCTCACTGATAAAACTATTTTCATATGTTTTAAGATACTGAATTAGTAGCAAGATGAGATGGTGGTTGTTGTTATTGCATTTCCTGCATTTGGAGAGTAATGCACTGTTCCAGTGAACAAGTCTGAATGCTCCCTCTGTCAGCGATAGCAGCATACCGCGGGAATCACAGGAAATTGATTAATTAGACATGGGAGACATCTTCATAACCGCGTTGTTGTTTTTAATACGAGTAATAGTTGTATGTGTCTCACTGGGGGGCATTTTCCTTTCACATGACCCTCATACAATAGTGGTCAGAAACCAGGATCAAAAACACACAAAAGCTGGAAAGAACCCTTCACAATTACTGAAATTCGCCTTGCATGAATTAATCTTTTAATGCAGTAGTAGTATAAATCAAACTCACGATTTCTAAAAATATATATTATTCTTTCATCCAATTCCCATTCCATTTATTTATTGAAAAAAATTCATTGTGTTTCACCAAAGCTCCTGATTCCACAATTACTGGACCCTTAAAAAGTACTTCTGAAATAAATGTTACTGAATGACTTTATAATGTGTGGTTCATTGAACTGATCAAACTGTCAGAATTTTTTTTTTCAATATTCCACAAGTCAGATGTGTTTTCTTAAGTCTGAACATGTCTACAAGTGAGCAACTCCTCATCCAAACTTGCTGTAACATCAATCAGAACAAGAATAAAAAAAAAAATGAAGTCAGTTGGAATTCACAGCAAGCACAATAAGAATGGAGGTAAAAAATAATAACAATAGTAAAAAAAAAAACTCAAAACTGTCAGAGGACTGCAGAAAAAAGACGCATGTCGGGTCATCAAATCTCTAGATTTATCTAAATGACCACTTGTTGCTTGTGGCGAACCAGATGTGCTTTCTGTGCTTCAATTACAAAGAAGAGCAGTTTACAAAATCCCAGCTGGACTTTAAAACTTAGACCTGGAGTTCAGCATGAGGTCACATCAATACAGAATGGTCCACAAGAAACAAAGTCAAGATTATTTCATAGCCATCTCTGTGGGTGAACGGAAATCCTGGAGAAAACCAGAAGCTGAGTTGAATATGAGAGTCCTATCTAGGCCCAGGACTGTGGATAATGAAGAGAAATTGTGTCACAGATCACACTCTATTTTGTGAAAGGTGGAGAAAATGAAAAGTTGTCTCGTTCACAAAAGAGGGGTTGTATGAAGAATGATTCCCAAAATATTGGAAAATGAACACCAAGCAAGCACTGTTAACCTATTGTTTTGCACTGCATGAATGCAATCAAATTGAGTTTTATCAAAAAACTAAATTTCAAATGTCCTGCTACAAAAGATTTATTTATATAGCTTTTTACATATCTTAATCGCGGGTGCTAATAAAGGACACTGTATATTTATATGTAATAGTATTCTAACAAATCTTAGCTAATGAGTACTGGTGATCATTTAAAGACCCCAGATGAAATTGAAAATTATTTATGTATCATTCTGTTTTCTTTTTGTTTATCCTCACCTGAAGCCACCTTAAGCTCTTCCTTCAGTTCTCTCTTCTGCTGTCGGAGCGTCACCAGCGCATGCCGTATTCCGTCCCGCTCCGTTTCCAGCTCTTCTTTTTCTCTGAGGTAACGCTTGGCATCTTCCTCCGCTCGTGTTTTTCCATAGAGTCCATAAGGGTTGGTATCTGGGCGGGAGCAAAAGGTGACGGGGGGGTTCAGACGTGCAGGGGTTGTGGGGAAAAAGGAGAAAAAGCAATAACGCATCTCCCTGTGTGATTAACACTGCACTGTTTTTTGTTGTTGTTATTTTTTTTTCTTTTTGTGGTTGCACAGTTGAGTAAGTTTAATGTGCTGGATTTGAATGGACTGAAATGCTAAGTTTTATATTTCTTGGTGACTAAGACTTTATTTAGAGGGAGATTAGACGACGCGTGAAGAAGAAATAGCACACCCACTCATACAGAGCGGGAGGTCAGGAGGTGAGACAGCACATCTAATGCGAGTGTCCAATAAATCTCGGGTTACATCCTGAAGTTCTCAGTCATTAAGAGTGCAGAGCTCCTTTTATGTGTTGGAGAAACAGCGATGCAAACCCTCTGCAAACCAGAAACACTAATCTGCTCCACTTGTAAAGCTAATGACACCACAAGGCATTTGGGAGAGGGCGAGAGAAAAAGGGAGATCACCGGTGGAAAACGAGAAAGGGATCAACAAAGAAAGAAGAAATATTGAGGCAGATGGGGCCTTTAAATCACAGGGCTGTCAGCAAACTGGCTCAGCCCTAGAAGGAGCGCACAGAGAGTGTGAGCTCTTTAATGCACAAGAGAAACGGAATCTCTGACTCCACTGTGAAATGTAACTAGAGTATGCTAACAGGAAACATCTGCATTATTTCTTTTTAATTCGTTTTCTACTCTCTGGAGTGACACATGGACACTGTGGGTGGGTATAAAGCTGAAAAAATACTGTGTAAAAATATTGTGGAAATTGTGTATTATGCGAAAAGTGCTGACACTGATGCCTGACTTTTACCTCAAAAGTCCACATGAAAAAGACAAGCCTGTGCTTT